CCGAAAGAAGGTACACACACAACCCATTCTTCATTTCTTTACTCTTTCCAATGGAAGCTGTGCCTCGTATATTGATTAATCTATTCGGTGGGAGGTATAAATACCATCTTGGTGTACAGTGCTCCTTTTGCCGTAGGCAAGCAAGCAAGCAAGCGATCATTATAAAAAGAGACTGTCCTGTTCGTACAGTGAGCTGAGAAGATGGGGTTAGAACTCGCCCTTCCCACACGTCATTCGGTGCAATATACAATATACAATATACAGTGTGTAGGTGTGTGTGTGTGTGTGTGTGTGTGTGTGTGTGTGTGTGCGTGTGTGTGTTTGTGTGCGCTGGAGCAGAATTACAGTAAACGATAGCGACGAGGTCGTGAGATGAGGGCATGTTGCTTTGTGGTCGCTGATTTCTTGCACATCTCGTACCGGCCCGCCTCCATCCGGAACGCCTTGATATCCGTTCAAAGGATTAAGGTTTCTGGCTCTGCGGATTCCTTATCCTTCGGGGATGGCCAACACCTCATGCGAAAAGAAAAAGGGGCACCACCACCACGACCACGCTAACGGCATGCGCGCAAGCAAGAAAGGAACCGAGCTTCCTTTCGATCCCCTTTTGCGTCTCTCTATAGCTCCATCCGTTTTCTTCTCCCGCCTTACTGGAACCACTTCTTGGTGGTCATCTTGGCGTTGGCGGCCGCGGCGGCCTTCTGATTCGTCACGCGGCGGAACTTCTCCCGGTTCCGAGCGTCGAGCAGACCTGCGGGGCCGTCGTCCTGGAACCAGTGCTGACCCGCCCCAACGCTCGGCTGCGCCGCCGCCGACGGCGAAGTCAGCTGTCGGCTGGGTCGGGTCAGGGGCCCGCGCTCGTCAAACATCATCTTGACGCGCTGAACCTTGCGCAGCTTGACAAGGCCGTACCAGCAGACCAAGAGGGAGCAGATGGTCGAGGTGGTGGTGACGCCCACGAAGCCCCAGTTAGTTTCCTCAATGAAGTTCTCGAGGTTCATTCCGTAGAGACCTGCGAGGAAGGTGCCCATGGCCAGGCCGAGAGTGCCGACGCTGAATTTGAGATCGAGAAGCATAAGGGCGTTGCGGTTGGCGTCGAGGATGGCACGGATGCTGTGGCTTCTGTTAGCAAGGACAGTCTTTTTCCAATAAGCAAACAAGCATCAGAGGGGCAACGGGCTTACATCTCCTCGGTGTTGCGAATACCAGACACCAGGTTCTGCGCCTCCTGAACGATTTCGTCGCACAGCTTGTTGTAAGACTCGAGCAGCAGCTCCACCTCGGTGTGGTCGTCGACGCCGCGGTAAAGGTCATGTGCTTTCTCGGTCAGGTACATGGCGGCGAGGTCGTCGTCGGCCTCGAGCAGCTCCTCGATGGCATCGCGCACGAGCTTGGCCTTCTGCTCGAAGGTGCTCACCCGCTTGGACAGGATGAGCAGCACGCGCAGCTTGTGCCGGTCGATGTCGTGTTCGAGCTCGCTGAGAACGCGGATGACGGGGTCCCGCACGGACTCGAAGTCGGCCTCAAGCTCCGAGGTGACGGAGGTCAGCACCGCCTCGAGAGCGCGGAACTCGTACGGCAGGCCGTTGACGCCGCCCTGAACGTGCTTCTGTTTGAGCTTGCCCTGCAGGTCGTACATGAAGGCCGACTGCGGGTACGACGTCTTGGAGCCGTACACGTCGAAGAGCAGCACGCGGTCCTTCTTGATCAGGACTTTTAAGTGGAGCAGGTTGAGAAGGATCGCGCTCTGGCGGACGAAGATGTGAGGCAGGTTGGAGGAATCAATCTTTCGCAGGTCGCGGGGCAGCAGGCCGTACTAGAATCACCCCGTAGTCAACATCTGCTAGGAAGCCCCCGTTTGGGTTGGTGAAGTCAAACCTTTGCGATGAGCTCCGTCTTCTTGAACTCGCCATCTACCAAAATCACCTCGCCGTTCTCGTCCACCTCGGTGCATCGCAGCCTGGGCTCCAGCGCGGCCTTCGCTGTCAGTATGCGGCGGCTGTTGAACATGGAGCCGGCCTCGCCGTCGTCGTGGAAGGGTAGGTCGTTGGGCTTCAGCGCCTTGGATCCTCCTCGGCCTCGTATGCCCCATAGCCTCTCCTTCCACGTCCGGCGCGGCGCCGAGGAGTCCTCGTCGCAGGCGTCTCGTCTCACACAGGTGGTGCTGAAGAATGAGACGGGCGAGGAGGGTAGATGAGTGAGCTTGCGTTTGCGGCTCGCCCGGGTGATGACGGAGTCGGAGCTGGAGCTAGAGCTAAGAGGCGAAGCTTGAAGGAGCCCCGAACTCCTGCAATGGGTCGAAATCGGCCTCGTCGTCGTCGTCGCCGCCCCTGTCCTAGAAAGCCTTCTGGCAAGGCATTGGGGATTCTGAGCTGGCCGGGCTGAGCTGGCTCGGATGGCAGCAGTCGTCGCGGATTCGGCACATTGGTTCCGACTGAAAATCGAAGAGGCCTCCGTTTGCGATCGCAGAAATCGTAGCAGGCTCGTCGATGGAACCGGGGTTCGGATCGCTGGAGGCATTGTAACGGTCCAATACCACACAATCCCCTCTCCCGGGGATGTGTGAAGCTGGGGAGGTCGTCCGGGGGGTTGACTTGGATCTTGTAACCTCTGTATCCGTATGTGCGCGATGACCACTTTTTTTCCTCGATATTTTACAGGTATGCAGCTAGATAGTTGAAAGTTGGGTTCCATGTGCACGGTCCAAGTGACTAGTCCTGTTTTTTTGACATCATTTCGCACTGTTCCCCCACGGTACGGCGGAACCCACTGACTGAAATCTCGAGACCCTCTCATGGTTTGGATGACGATGAAATGTCTTCGTAGACAACGTCGTTCGGGTCTTCATTGTTCCCTCACGACTTCCACTCTCGCTTCTTTCTCTCAAATTTTCGATTGTTTAACCCGATCCCCCCCATCCATTCGAGGTCAAGGCTGAGGAGAACTAAGGTTTTTCACTTACACCATTAGTACCTCAGCTCTGGTTTTCTCTGGAACGAACCATTAGTACCTAGACCTTGCCCTCTAGTCGGCTGGGCTCCCTCGACAGTATTACCAGATAAATCTCTGAGATGAAAATGCCCACATAACCTCACCTGGGGATACGGGAGCGAACTGGAAGGTGTTTCCTTCCCCAACGGATCATGCAGTTGACCCCTATCAAAGTCAGAGGCAAGCGTGGCAAACCCCCTTCGTCCAAGGCACCGACCAAGCAACCGGTAAAGACACGTACATCACGACTTTCGAGTCGCTTGTCAGTCAAACGCAAATCGCTTCTGGAGCGGCAACTGCCTCTCGAAATCATCGAGCGTATCTTCGTCCTCAGCGAGAACCTCAACTTCCCACGTTGCAGCCCTCTCGTCGGCCGTCTTCTCTCCGGTAGATCCACGCTTGTCAACATCCTCACAGCTGCGTTCCACCCTACGTGGGATTGTTGGTTTGGTGTCAACAGACGCGCGCTTAAGACGGTCTTGAAGCGCGATGGCACAGAAGATTCACGGAGAGTTTGGCGTCATGAGAACTTCCCCGAGTTCTTCCCGGGAAATCCAGAGTTTCAGGTATGATAAGATTACGCAGGGCGGTCCCAGATCACTAAACCGCTTGTAGTCCTCCGTGCTAGCATCCCCTTGGCTTAACGTGGACATCATGTTCGACGCCCGGCAGGTTTGGGCCTGGCGCTTCGCTCGCGACAGGTGGTACTCGCATTCCCACGTTGGTCCAAAACAAGAGGATGCGGACTTGATTGGCTCCTTGGACTCCCCTCACGATCGGGTTGGCGGTTTTGGTCACTTTGAGCCAAGGGGCTGCTTCGAATATGACTGGCTCGCCTACGGGCTTAACAGCTCAAAACCGGCGCTCGACTTTTATGTTGATGTACACCCCAAGACAACTATCCCAGACGGTCTCATTACGGGACCATGGACACCGGAGCAGCAGAGGCTTCTTTTTTGGCTTCGGAGAGGCGGAGCAAAGATTCAGGCCGAACACCAGACCTGGGAGGCAAGTGATCGGATGCGTCGAAACGACCTTTGGGGGTGGTTCAGCAGCTAACACACGGGCAGACGTTGCGGGTTGGCCTTCAGAACGCCGTCACACATCGGAACCCAGGAAACCTGGATGGACGTCTGGTGCACATGCTTTTCCTGCTGGACGACTTCTTCCCCTCACAAGGGCTCGAGGACGAGCTGTCTCTCTGGCCGCTGGATGTCTTGGAGGAGGAACATGCCAAAGTGGTCAGGCTACTCGAGGCAAGGGGTCGCAGCAAGGCTGGGCCCCTACCCGAGCTCATACAACTCGAGAAGCGCATGGCAGACTACCACCGCCGCGAGGTCAATCACCTCATGTCGAGACGAAGTCGGAGCTAACGTCTGATGTCACACCCGATGCTGACTGTCAGTCTTCTGCATTATTCAGGAAATTACCGTGAGCCAGGGAAGGAGGAGCTGTACATAGGCGACAGGTGTGGCTTGATTCTGCAAATATCTCGACATCTCGTCGAGCCTCACCTAATACCTTTTGGTGTAATGCGTCTGCCAAGGAGCAGACTGGCGAAAGACGAGAGGATGAGGATCCGGTTGAAGTCATCCGAGATGAATGCAATGATAGCATAATAGGGGCCAGTACGTCTGCTTCGAGATATTATGCACGTAGGTTTGATGAGCATCAAAGCCAGTTCTACCGAACTGACTTAATCAGAGCGTACGAGCGTCACGTTTCTCATCAAGAATTGTTGATATGCAGGCACTGCCTCGGACCGAAAGGTTTCTCAAGCCCCTGGCATTTTCCTCACCGTAACCCTATTACCCGAACCGTAAAGAGTCTTGAGTGATAACCTGCACACTTCGTTTCCTCAATAAGTGTCTCGGTACATGGGAGTGAAGACATCCATGACGGTGCTTGGCCATGGGGGCGTCACCCACCTTACTGAGCGTATAGATTCCAAAAACATGACACCGTCGGCCCTCAGTCTGCTAATTATTCTCACGCCCCGGTCGTGTTGCTTCCGAGTGGTGTAGTTGATTCATCACGTTCGACTGTGATAGGTTTACGAGATCATCGAAAGGTTCCTAGTTCGATTCTGAGTTCGGAGATGTTCTTTTCTTTTCTTTTTCTCTTTCCTGCTATGAAGATGTGTCCTCGCGGGCCCGGTACACCCCTGCAATTGATTCTTTCCTGGCCCGGTCTTCAAATCAGCGCCCGTCATCCAACGTCAAGAAGCATATTCCCTGACAACTCCTGTCATCCTTTTACGGACTACTCCATGCGTATCCTGTTTTCACGCTCCTAGGCTTGCTAGCCACCTTTGATGAGATGGTTCCATGCAGACATGGGCAACCCGACACAAGGCCGGCGCTCTCGTCTCCCAAAATCATGCGAGTAACCGTACAAAGAACACACCGTAAAGGGGAAGAGAGGGTCAGAGTGGAAACACATCGCAGGTTGAGGCATTGGGCATGGGCTCCAATCCGACATGCTCTAATTTAGCAAGGCAGTCTCCCTAGTACGATCTTGTGGGGTGCCAACAATAAGGGGGCTTGTGTAGGAGAAGGACATCAAACCCTAGGTAAAGAGTGAGTGTGGACACCAAGACCGACTTGGTTCCAACGCACTCATAGTGTGTCATTGAGTGTCATGAGAATGGTAGGTATGAATATTTGCTGTAATTTCTTTGACGGGAAACAGCATTTGGCGATGTCGTGCCCAAGAAGACATAGTGACACTTGACCAGTTCCATGGGTAGCAGCAGCTGGCCTTCTCTGAGTCCTAGCTGTTGGAGCACTGACAGGCTCACGCCCAGTGCGACTGCGACTACGTACGTGGGGCCGCGTCTCGGGATGACCCGACATTCTCATCCACGCCCAAAACAGGCGTTTCTCGAAAGATCTGACAGACTAGAGAACGTTTACGAGAGAGCGATGCTCGAAACGGATCCCCTCGCATAGCCCTCGCGTCACCCGGAGTGACAAAGAAGAACTGGGGGCACTCGCCTACGGTTGTCGCGGCCTCTACGTTCCACTTGCCACGTACAAGTGTCGTGAAGGCAAGGACAGTCAGTCGCCACCCCAGGAACATTACAACCCACTGACATCCGAAAGTCCCGGCCCCCAAAATACCCATCTGGCGGGCGTTGATACATCGGCGACCAAGAGCCTTTGCGGCCCCCGCGGCACGCACTTCGGACACGTCCATCTCCTCAAATATTCCCCATTCGTCTCGCCGAAACGCTGCGTCATTCTGTCCCCCGCAAGGTAGCGGCGAGCCGTATCGGGCAGGCCAGTCTTCTATCGGAGACTTCATCTGCCGGGTGAGCAATCCGGCCAGGGCCTTGGCCTTGGAGGAAGAGGCCTGGCCGAGATGAAGTTCCTGGGAGAAGGACCAGTTCGTAGAGATCTCGAGCGAGAAGCCCCATCTCCACTGCCTTCGGGGTACCAGAATCTGGCATCTAGCATCTCGCCCCCCGCGATAGATTTCCAAAGCGCCCGCCCACGGCATAAGAAACCCCCCCACCAGCTTCGCGTGCCAGCCAGCCAGCCAGGAAGCTGTGCCCGAAGAACGCACCAACTTGGTGGCAACCGTCAGACTCTTACGCCGCAGTGTTTGCCTGGAAGCCAAGGAACCTCGTACGCGTGCGCGCACACACACGCGCGCGCTCTCTCCCCCCTTCGGCCAACCTCGTAGCCCAGGCTTCTGGGCCCATCGTGACTTCACCAATCTCCTGTTCCCTTCCACATCCTCCTGAGGCCAGTGGTCGTCTTCCCTGTTTCCCGAGTGTAAGCCTTAGAACACTCGTGTAAGGCCCCACGGCACCTAACTGACAAACGTCTCGAACACCACTAGGTGAAGGCCCTTGAGAGGGCACTGGGCCATCCCCATCTGTCTCGCGGCCCGAGATGCACTCGGGTATCAGAATGAATCATCTTCCGTACCCTTCTTCAACGGCGCCAGGCCACCGTTTCACATACGTACTACCCCAAAACCGCGCAGTCTGAACACGAGGTACTTCTCTCTTACGGCGAACAGTGCCCATCGTCAAGGTACTCTCCTTGAAGCAGCCGTGAAGACCGTTTGCAGACCCCTCGCTCAACCCCCCTTCGTGCGTTGGCCAGTCCAGTCCAAATGGACCCGTTAGCGTATCCAGCAACAGTCATATGACAGACACTTTGGGCTGGTGTACAGTGAACAAGGACTTTTCCCAGCCCTACCTACCTTTACTGGAAAGATCCCGGGAGGGTCGAATCCACCGCGCGGAAGCGAGGTTCCTGTGTGTGCTGGCGGCGGTATGACTCACATTCCAACCATGCGTGCGCCATTATCGCCGACGAACCATCGGCGTTGCTGGGCTGCGGTTTGCAAATACCCTGGTCAAACATCAGCAGTGAACAGTTGGTAAAGTGTTGCCAGCCTCATTGAGCACGCGCATCGGAAGTTCTCCGTTAATAAGCAACAGAAAGGTTCTTGGTGTACCAGCAACGTGACGTCTCACAACGCACACTTCCACGAGCCGTTTCCAGCGCAGAGACGTGAATACACAGAAGCGAATTCGGTCCCAAATCTGGTAGAATTTGATTAATAGGTCAGACAGAGCAACAACTCGTCTCATGGTCAAAAAGCTAGCTATGAATCTCTCGAATATAGCTTCATCGCTTTTTCGGAAGTTGTAGTAACACGTGCTGTGTCATTTCGATCCTTGTGTGAAACTTTTCGATAATCGCGGCCACTGACATGCATCTGCGTGCAGCGAATGAGATGTGCCTCGTTTTGCTCGTTCTGGTCGCCCCTTTCGGATCTCCCTTCGAGCGCTCAGTCACACATGCCCAAACTCTGATTGCGGCTGGTCGACTCGACAGAGCCGTCGTCTCCGTCCCAAAATGCAGATTAGCCGAGAACCTCATGTCGTCGGGCTATCAAACGCGAGAAATTCAAACGCAAAATCGACTCTCTTCTTCAGGGGGTGATCGTACAAACACAGGCGCGGCAAACAGCCGCCATAACATCAATCCTCTTCGCCGTCCACCTCTCCAATGCCCAGGTCCGTCCTTTGATGATGCATGCAAGATTACCACGCTTTTCGTGCCGTTCCTCGACGCCATCTAAGCTGTTTTAAGGACTCGATGAACCGCCAGGTGGTATCAAAGCTCTTTCCGTTCCCCGCCACCCCGTATTTGAGTTTCGTTTTAACAAAGGAAAATGAGGATAATGCACAAGAAGGCCAATTTGCCTATGAAGATTGACCGTTTGGGTATTTCGGGAAGTTTGCACGAAACGTGCTCAGTTTAGAATACCGTCCCACATGCCCGGTCCGCGGTACCCATCAATTGAGTGAAGGGCTGTGTTGTAGACCGGTGTGGCTTCGTTGGCGCAGCATACGCGCTTGCGAGGGGAGCCTCGCTCGTTCGTGGCCTTGTGGTTGCCCCTCGGACGAACCAAAGACTGAGTCCACTGCTTCCCAGAGTAGTTACCAGACAGCATGTCCCGAACATTCTCTTGAAGGGAAGCGTCGACGATTGAAACACCGCGGGCCCGCTTGCGGGAAGACATGCCAGTCGGGGTCACATTGTCAGACCGGTAGTTCTGGAGTTCTTGGAGTGCTCGTGCGGCATCGTTCGCGGGGTCGTGAACCATGGCGTCCAATTCACATTCTCTTTGAGCCAGCGGAGTGTCCAACGACATATCTCCCAATCTTCCAACCGGGCCGGTGTAAGATTCGGGCGACGACGTGATGCAAGTCTCTTCGTAGTCTTCGGGAACCGAGGTGATCGTCGGTCTCAGGCTCGCCCTCTCACTACACAGCTTCGCAGACCGGAATCGCGCCTGAACCCCCAATCTGGGGGCCGGCGCGCTAGCCAGTGACGATGCTGATGAGATGGAGGAAGAGCGCGAGGCTTGTGAAGAATCAGAGACCATCGATTCGGGAGAAGACGCAGTCGAGATTGAGGCGGCGAGAGAGGATCGGCGAACGGGGAAATACCCCTGGGGCGACGAGGTGTTCGGAACGGGCCAGCGATCCAGGCACTGGGTAGCACTGACACACGAAGCCTGGGCCATGGCGAGGCCCATGGCACCCCCTTTGCTGGCGAGGTGAGACACAGCACTCACTGCAGGAGTGCTGTATCCGCTTGACTGGGGCGTGAGACGAGGGGTGGGCAGCAGACCGAGGGCGGGAGCCAGCCGACCCGGAGTATATACAGTGGCCGGGGAAGGCTCCATAATAGTCGGGGTCTGGAATGATCGCGGGGTGGGAGTAAGCTCTGACGAGTCATAACCCAATCCGCAAGCGCTGGTCGCCGACGTCACATTTTGAGCAGCCGAGAGCATGGTGCGATGGCGGGACAAGGTGCGAGGGGCGGCGTGGAGGTGAGCCGTAGGGATCAGACCTTCGATGTTGTCCAGCTCGGGGTTCAACTTGAGAATGACCGTCTTCCAGTTCGAGCTCTGCTGGGCGTACCACTGGGCCGAGGTCCCCGGTGCTGGAGGAGACGGGGGCGTGTACTTCAGCACAATCTCGGTCCATCGCTGAAAAACTTCGTCGACGATGTGTAATTTCCAGTCAACCGCCAAGAGAAAAGCAATCTCGTTCTGGTTGATTTCTGCAGTGTTGAGGCCTGAAATCTTACTCCAAGCTCGCGCCGAATAGTTCCGGTCTTGAAGATATTTTGAAGCCAAGATGAGCGCAGCAAGGAACATGCGACGGCCACACTGAAGCGCGCGGCACTCATGCTTGTCGTCGGGTTGCTCCATGGTGAAATCATGCTTCGGAACGTGGGGCTTGATCAGGATCAGGTAGTACAGGGCAACTTGCAAGGTCGAATAGCTGGTGCGAGAGCGGCGCAGGGTCTCTTGTATGAAGGTGCGCAGCGGCAGCACAGCCTTGCTACCAAGTTCATTACGGCAGACGGCAGAGGATAGGGGCCAAATAGCCTCGACGATCTGAGTCGACGAATCTAGAAGCGATACCGGGTCAGGAAACATCTCAGTTGCGCGCAATCTCCTATTATGGCTTACCGACGAGGTTGTCGACGAAGTTGACCTTGCGCTCGGACTGTCGAACCAGGGTCGGAGGTGCTCCGGAGCGAGTGTTACCCGCGCTGGT